GTGTGTGCCACCACACCAGCTAATTTTTTTTATTTTTTGTAGAGACGCAGTTTTGCCATGTTGCCCAGACCATTCTTGAACTCATGACCTCAAGTGATCCACCTGCCTTGGCCTCCCAAAGTGCTGGGGTTACAGGCGTGAGCCACCACTCCCGGCAAGCACCTGTTTGTTTTTTCAACAATTCACAAGGCTTGGCCAGGCACGGTGGCCCACACCTGTAATCCCAGCACTTTCGGAGGCTGAGGCGGGCAAATCATGAGGTCAGGAGTTCAAGACCAGCCTGACCAACATGGTGAAACCCCATCTCTACTAAAGATACAAAAAAATTAGCTGGTATGGTGGCACACACCTGTAATCCCAGCTACTCAGGAGGCTGAGGCAGGAGAATCACTTGAACCCAAGAGGCAGAGGTTGCAGTGAGCCGAGATTGCACCACTGCACTCCAGCCTGGGTGGCAGAGTGAGACTCTATCTTAAGAAAGAAAAGAAAAAAAAAGAAAGGAAAGAAACAACAAACTGGCTGGACATGGTGGCTCACACCTATAATCCTAGCACTTTGGGAGGCTGAGACAGTAAGATCACCTGAGGTCAAGAGTTCACGACCAGCCTGGCCAACATGGTGAAACCCTGTCTTTAAAATAAATAAATAAATAAATAAATAAATAAATTTTTTAAAACTGTCTTAAAAAGCACAAGAACTGTTTTCCAGTGGTGGGGCGGGGGCGGGGGGGACGACAGGAAAAAAAAAAAAAAAAAAAACCCAGGCCGGGCACGGTGGCTCAAGCCTGTAATCCCAGCTCTTTGGGAGGCCGAGGCGGGTGGATCACGAGGTCAAGAGATCGAGACCATCCTGGTCACCATGGTGAAACCCCGTCTCTACCAAAAATACAAAAAATTAGCTGGGCATGGTGGTGCGTGCCTGTAATCCCAGCTACTCAGGAGGCTGAGGCAGGAGAATTGCCTGAACCCAGGAGGCGGAGGTTGCGGTGAGCCGAGATCGTGCCATTGCACTCCAGCCTGGGTAACAAGAGTGAAACTCCGTCTCAAAAAAAAAAAAAAAAAACCCAACGAAACAAACAATAATAAAAAATAAAAAATTTAAAAATTTAAAAAACAAAGCAGAAGCACAAGAAGATCTGTATTATTCCATTTCCTCACGCTGGAGAAAAAGGTAGCTTAGCTAATACTAATTTGTTACTTTCACCACTACCAGTACTGTCTCGAGAATGGTGACATGATAATGTTACATTCCATCCTCTCCTTAGCCAGCCTAAAATAGCCCCAGTGCGGCTTAACACCAATGTGTGAGCTTCAAAACCTTTAAAACAGCACAGTCCTGGGAATGAGATCCAGGTCAGCCCCTTCCTGCTGCTAAACAGCTGATGACTCTGGCACAAACAATCCCCACTGAGGTCTTGGTTTCCTCATCTCTAAACTGAAGAAGTTAGAATAGAGTTCTGGGAATATTCTCAGCTCTGTCAACCGTGGACTCTGAACACTAAGTTATTTTTGCAATCAACCATTACATTGCGTGACGGAAATAAAAACGACTGTTCTAGAGAGTGACTAGGTGTGACAGTTTCTGAGTCTATCGCCTCTCCACCTGCTCTCTCCTGAACTTGGTGCCGACACCCTGAGTAAATGAAGCTGGGCTCACACCCAGGCACCCAAGGGCTGCACCTCCCAACATCGCAGCCCTGGCAGTCAAGGAAGCAGACACCACCGTCTCAAGGAAACGGCTGGCAGCTCTGACCAGGAGCTCAGAGGTCTCACATCCAAAGCTGCTTCTCCCCACACTGAGTGCCAAGAGGAAAAGCCCAGCCCAGGATGAGGAGGAGCAAGTCACAGCCAGCCAGCCAGCTGCCTTCTTCCCACCCAGGACTCCCCACCAGATGTGGCTAGGAGACAGGACCACAGCTGCTTCCGGTCATGCCATATCCTGGGGCTGCCTGATGGACAGACTGTCCTGCTAAAATGCAGAAGTTACTTCTACCATAGTTTGCACAGTCATTTTTAGGGCTAGAGATGAGGTTGAAGACTTTCAAGCAGCTATGAACACAGGATAGAACTGTCTTTTCCACTGCTAGCACTGGAGAAAAGCTCTCTGCATCTTTAGACAACTGACTCCCTCTGTCAGACAGCAGCAGACTTTTTATTTCTGATTCTGACAAAACACACACACACACACACACAGAGGAGAGAAAATCATCACATACCACATACCACATACCCCATAAGGCTCCAAGATCCTGCTAAAACCCAAATCCCAGTATTATACAGCAGTTTTGTAAAGTCTGTTACCAGAAGACATTGGCAGGAAAAAAAATGCTAATGTTCTTCCTTTACTCAATGAATAGAGGTGACTGTTACATAAAAGACAAGGTCCTTGCGAAGGCTCTGTCAAGAAGCATTAAGCTACAAGAGGAATGTTCAAAATTCCCTGATGTTCTAAGAAACAAGCTATCAGAATTCGCCCTGAGGGCCCCTGTTGGCTAAGACACCTTGAGACCAATAAAGAAGCAAAACATTTTCACTCTCCTGACAGCATATAATTATTTAGCTCAGGTCTCCTTTCATTTTGTTCTGACCCTTGAAGTGATTCAAAGTGGAAAAACTCATACAGTGAACCGCAGGAAGGACTCCTTCAAGGACTTCTCTGACACCTGCAGGAAACTTAAAAGCTGCCAATGACCAAAATAAAGGACAAGCAGGGTGAGTTATGTGCCTGGTGACATCCTGACAGAGCAGAACGTCAGGGCTCATAATTTCACCAGCCAGCACAAACAAGCTTCCCTAGAATGGGTTTTGAGCAGACGTGAAACAAGAGGCACAGGAGCTCTGGCGCTAACGGGAGTTCAGCCCCGCATGGTAGAAAAAGATCATCCCTGTGCTCTCAGCTCAAAGGCAGAAAGGTGTGGGCTTTAAATAGGAAGACTGTGCCGTGGTTCATGCCTGCAATCCCAGCACTTTGGGAGGCTGAGGCCAGTGGACTGCTTGAGACCAAGATTTCAAGACCAGCCTGGGCAACACAGTGAGACCCCTTCTCTATAAAAATTTTTTTTCAAAGGAGTTAGGCCCAGTGGCACGTGCCTGTAGTCCCAGCTACTCAGGAGGCTGAGGTGGGAGGATTATTTGAACCCTGGAGGTCAAGGCTGCCATGACCTCTACTGTGCTACAGCCTGGGCGACAGAGTGAGACCCTGTCTTAAGAAAGAAAGAGGCCAGAAGTGGTGGCTCACACCTGTAATCCCAGCACCTAGGGAGGCTGAGGTGGGTAGATCACCTCAGGTCAGGAGTTCAAGACCAGCCTGACTAACATGGAGAAACCCTGTCTCTACCAAAAATACAAAATTAGCTGGGCATGGTGGTGCATGCCTATAATCCCACCTGCTTGAGAGACTGAGGCAAGAGAATCGCTTGTACCCAGTAGGTGGAGGTTGCAGTGATTTGAGATCGTGATTGCACTCCAGCCTGGGCAACAAGAGTAAAACTGTCAGAAAAGAAAAGAAAGAAGAAGAAAGAAAGAAAAGAAAAGAAAAGAAAAGGAAAGAAGGAGAAAGAAAGAAAGAGAGAGAGAGAGGGAAGGAGGGAAGGAAGGGAGGGAGGGAAAGATAGAAAGAAAGAAGAAAGAAAGAGAAAGAAGAAAGAAAGAGAAAGAAGAAAGAAAGAAAAAGAAAGAAAGAAAGAAAGAAAAAGAAAGAAAGAAAGAAAGAAAGAAAGAAAGAAAGAAAGAAAGAA